CTCGAACCAGATGCAGTTTTTTGAAATTTTGAGATTGACGAACTTTGAGTAGCGGTGTCCAGCTGAGATATCATATAAAAAGACTCTGTGTCGGCCCACTTGAAGAAACTGTAGTCCTGTCGTTGTGCCCACTGCGGGTACCTGTAAAACTATCTTCCGAAGCTATGTTCCTGGCGTGACGTGAGTAGCAAGGACGGTAGCACGCATCGACACATCACTTTCTCGGACTTCCCTGAATATCTGGAACTCATCATCCTGCAGTTATTAAAAATAGAATAGATCAGTCAAAAAATTGAGGAAATATAGAATGTATACTTACCGAAATATGGAGACAGCGGTTGCCGACAACAAATTTTTGTGGGCATCCAAAATGCTCTACTGTTATCTCGATAAAATCAGTACAATTTAGTATTAAGAAAAAAATTAAATAAGACATAAATTCATATAATAACATTTGATCCATTAATCCATATATCCAAATATATTTGCAAAACGACATGTAGTTTGAAGCAAACAAATGAATCGAATATGTACAAGGATGCGTAGCACCCAAATGATGCAACAGGTAATTCGAAACCTATATGTACTGCAGAAAGTGTAGATGCAGCAGGTAAATCCGAAACAATATGAGAAAGCTATAACATATGTACCAACAATAATTAGAATTACCTGAAGCATACAAATCCGAAATTTTTACATATATACCACTCAAGTTCTCAGGTAAATTCTATGCACCCAAAAACCCAGCCATAGAAATGTTTCAAATGCTTCACCCCAAAATCATGGAACCATAAAAAATAATGTCATACATAACCATACCATAGCAGCCATAGAAAATGATGTCATACATAACCACACCATAACAGTCATAGAAAATGATGTCATACATAAGCAGTCTATGTAATAGATAACAATGATCCAACTGATGCTTCTCATAGCAGTCATAAAAATGTTTCAAATGCTTCACCCCAAAATCCTGGAACCATAGAAAATAATGTCATACATAACCATACCATAGCAGCCATAGAAAATGATGCCATACATAAACAGTCTATGTAATAGATAGCAATGATCCAACTGATGCTTCTCACAGAAAATTTATACCATAGAAAGGTTTCATATATGTTACCGCAGTCATACTTTACTACAGAAGTTTGAGACAATTGATATTTATCACAGAGAGACTTCATATATGTTACCACACAATTCTAATGATTTTTCATATATATAAATATATAAAGCATCTCATTGACTCGACAACAAAAAAACATCTCATTGACTCAACAATGCTTGATCTCAATATAAAGCACCTCATTGACTCAACAACAAAAATGCATCGAATGTAAAACAGTTTCCTGCATTTAATGTAAAACAGAAAGGCTTCATATATGTTCCAAACCGAAATAGATGTTTTCAATAAGGAATTCTAAAGCCGGATTTATACAATACAGGAGCAATACAATATCCTGGACCTCACTTTTTAAAGAAATAACTATTTGCTAACATAATAAAAGATTGCTTCAGAAAAGAATAGAATAGAGGAGTTGAAGTTGTAATATGTGCTTAAAACCAAGCTCTCCAACCAACAACTAGCAGATATCCCCCAAAAAATATCTCCCAAGTAGGTATTTTAACAAGAGATCTGAAGATAAGATACGACATACTATATACGTATTCGCATTTCCCCCAATCAAGCTAACCGAGCCAGCAAATTGGAAAACACATGCTTATCGAACCTGTAAGCATTTGTAGTTAACATATAATTAGATGTTCCATCAAACGAATAAAACATAGGAAGACTTCAATACTTCATCCATATACTCCCAGAGGGACATGACTATAGCATCTATATAATTTCAATTCTAAAACAAGACTTGCATTTACCTTAACATAATATCAGTGCAGCATGCAGTAAATCAGACTTGCATTCACCTTAAAAATTGCTCTGTCATCATAAACCCGAAGATCAACAAGCCCCCTCAGCATTAAAATAAAAACTAGATATTCCTATGCAGCAAAAGCCCCATCAACTCACATAAACACCCATAAAACACACACTTCACAAGCTCAAAATGGATCGAAATATCATTATCAGGATATTTTGTTGCAATATTTTTCCCAAAAAATGGATCGAAATATCATTATCAGGATATTTTGTTTCAATATTTTCCCCAAGCAACAGAAAATATTAAAAGAAATAGTGAGTCTTTCAAGTTCTTTTTCAGATCACAAAAGATTATAAAAATAATTTCTGATTTGTAAACATAAAAGGGGAGTAAGCAGGTAAGCAATGTAATAAAAAGTCTCATATAAGCATAAAGTTTCAAATAATCCCCTCATATATAACCACATGTGGCCATCAAAGCTGCTTCAAAGAGATGCACCACCATGCATCCAACAAATTTTGTCAACAAATTTTGTTACCAACAAATTCGATTCCAAACAAATTCTGTTACTAACAAACTATTCTCGATACTCGAACGAAATACAGAAGGCAGCGGTTGCCCTGAAAAAAGGGCCATCCAAGCTGTTTCAAATAGAGACACAATCCATTCAGTTTCAATAACGAAACATGAAAAAACCCAACAACGATTGTCCTTAAAGTATAGGGTCATCCAAGCTACTATAGACATGAATACCAATTAAAATAAAAGTCCTTCATGCCAATCAGACAAATCCCTCACTAACAACTCCATTTCCCACCAAACAACCCTCATTCTTATTCAAATAAATAAATCACAGTTGAACGACAACAAATATGTTTAGCCACAATTTAAAATTCATGCCATCATACAATTTAAAATTCATGCCACCTTGAAAAACAAATGCAGCTTATAGGGATACCAGATGCAAATAACAAAAATGATAGCTCTCCATCAAGCTGCAAACTCCCACCAACATAAAACAATATATCCACAGTAATTAGAAAATGAGCTCAAAGCATTAAAAACAACAATATATAGTTTAGGTCATACAAAGGAATTCATCCAACATATTTTCATTTTCATCACAATAATAGCATAACACCTTCCATACTAATACCATTCAAGCCTTCCATATTAAATAGTTCAAAACATATGAACATAAAAATGCCAAACATAGCTATGTAATAGCAGATTGTCCTTACAGAAAACCCTAAAATAAGGTACCATTCATAATTGTCTAGCCAAACTTTACAATACATTCCTTAACATGTTTCACTAATGTTGTCTGCTATTTGATCTCTCAGAGCTGCCATTTCAGATGCCCCTTCACCATCTTTGGTATTTGTTTCAAGTGAATTCATTTCAAGCTATGGTATGGTGCGGCCCACAGGGTACTTGAATGCTTCGGGGGGAATTTGTTGTAAATTCGCATCAACCACGACAAATTTTGCATCAGTTCTTGAAGGGTGCCTCCTAATAAAGTTGTGTAGTGCCATGGTGGCCACTACTATCTGGGCCTGCTTCGAAAATGGATAATTGCACATATCACACAATATAACCCATTTCTTCTTCCACACTCCGAATGATCGTTCGATTACGTCTCGTAATGATGAATGCCTTTTATTGAATAATTCTTTCTTCCTACATGCTATACCGCTTGACCTTTCAAAATCTGGGATATTGTATATGGATACGACTCAAGAAACCCCTTTTATAAGGGATATGCAACGTCGACTAGGTAGTACTTACCTGTTGTGTGATGTTAGTTATGAATGGATGTACAAAACAAAATTAATTTCTGAAATTAGCGTACCTAGAGGAGGATAAGGGAACCCATATGAACGGTTTCTAGTAGCTAACTTGAAAACACGGCTATTGTGTGCGTTATCTTCCCATCTAGCCATCACAAAAGTAAAACACATATTGAAATCACACACAACCAAAATATTTTGTGTGGGGGATCCACACTATCCGATGTATGCGACTTTCTCTGCAGGAGACAGTCGTGCATCAACGTGTGTTCCGTCAATAGCTCCAACACAGTCCTGTGGTGCAGAAAGTTCCCCTAATCAACTTAAAATCAATAAGTTTTTAAATTTGAAAATGAAAATTATGTAGGTCACTTATCTTGAAGAAAGACATGTATTAAGGGTTGTTTGTAATTTGTGTATGAATGGTCTGAAACGTTGGGTCCTCGGGCTTTACTATCTTGTATGCCAGACTCACCAGCGCATTCAAACCCAATGAAAAATATCTACTAATAGTTTTTGAAGAATGTTAGAATCGCTCCATAGCTCCTCTGATAGATTCATTTTGGGATAAGATATACATTGTAATTGCTCCAATACCTCTCTGACAGTTGTTCTTGCTGAGCCGTGTAATCCATGAAGGTCCCGAAGTTCATTAAGCAGGTCGAGAAATATCACCTTCGTCATACGAAATATGTTTGTAAACATTGTTGGGTGTCCCCGTAATATCTCCCCGACCCATTTTTCTCCTATCTGACTTGATATCATACAAAGTGTTTGGTCAACGTATGTATGATCATAGTAGTATAAAAAAATGACGACGAGAGTAACTTTGCGGTTGTGGCTAAGTTGTTCTTCATCCATTCTACAAAATGTGATAAATAGTTTTTTTTTAAGATGTTTAACGTTAACTTGCAGTAGTAGGAAAGAAACTATTTTAGAAGAAATAAACGAAGACATAAACATAAAATGTAATGACACAGACAATCACATATAGTTCAAAGAAGACATAGGAACAAAGAGTCAATCACATAATTATTACAATGACTAGTGCTAAAATAAAAATAAAAGTCAATCCTAATCAATCATTCATAAAATATTGCAAGTAAGAAAGTCTGAATTCTTGGTCCAAATTCGCGAAGAACTGTGTACGAGTGGAGTTCCCCAACAACTTCACATATTTTAAATACATGGGTTCGTCTTCTTTAACACCGGGATATGTACACAAGATTTTAAGACACTCTTGAATTGAGTAGTTGTTTGTTATTAGAGGTGGTGCAGTCTTCGGTTTGCAGGATTCAAGCAGCGTCTCTATGAAACCTCTGACAAATGCGACTCCAACTTTCTTTTTTTCCGCTCTGGGACGCTTTGTCCGACCAGTTGATTGAACATCTGGAGTTGGCTGGGACCTTCTCCAGATTCACCTTTGTGCTCGGTTGTCATGTCATGTGTTAAACCAGCAAAGCTCTGATAAGCTGGGGTGAAAGCATGAGTTTCAGTAGCGACAGCACCTATGCACATGCTATTCAACTTTTCCTCTAATACTGGATCAATGCCGCTGAGTTTGAATTTTTTGGCAGCCGGCACAACCTGTAATATAAAAAGATAAATAATTAGTAAAAATCTTTAGAAAGATGAAATCAACGCAAAAAGCAAATATAGGTAAGCATTTACGGCTAACTTCTCAGCCCACTATTCATCTGGTGCATCTATTGTCCGCTTAAGTGGATCCCAACCCAATCCGGTTGATCCTCTTTTGAGTTCTTTCCAAATTTTCTTGTCTTTTTTTAGTTGATCCCATTCATTTTTAAGTTTCATCTGATCGTAATCCCTTCCGGTGAGTTTCTTGAATTTAACGGTTAGGTTTTGCCAACCTTCTTTATTGAAATAGGTGGTCGGTCTATTACTCAACTCGACTTCCCTCACACAAAGATCACAAAATATTTTTGTCATCCTTTTTGCTGTGAACTTTGATTTGTGCATGTGTCTAAGTCATGCTTGTTGTTGTGAACATTGACTCACGCATGAGTTTATGTAATTTTGCCATGATTTTTTCTGTAGATTTAAGAACGGTTTTTTATTGATGAATTAGTAATACAGAAAAATGAAATGTATCAGGATAGTTGTTTGTCGAACAACACAGGATTTCTTGTTCTTTAAATCTTTTTACTTTTTTATTCATAACCTTTTTCTTATGCTGCTTTACATTATTAGGCAACCAGACATGCAGAAATGGAAGCCATTGACATACTTATGGAACAATGGCAAATGGCTGGACTGAACTGCTTACAAGTCGCACAAAGATTTTCTTCATGTGATCTTTATGTGACATGTGAGCCGTGTATAATGTGCGCAGCGGCATTGTCCATTCTTGGTCAGTTCAGCGCACCTAATTATTAACCTGTTCTAATTAAGCATTACTAGATTAAATAACTCTTTCAAAGAGCAGGTATTAGGGAAGTTTATTATGGTTGTGCTAATGACAAATTTGGAGGGTGTGGTTCTATCTTGTCTTTGCATGAAGGCGCTTCACTTGAATATTCCAGGTATGTTGACTATTAACTTATTAATTTATCTGCATAACTGCCAAATCTAAACTATTAGTTGGTTATTTTTATTTTTATTTTTATTTGTGGATATAAGCCATGGTTTACTTGTAGACTATTATGATTCAGTTGTTGAATAATTAGTCATGTATTGTTGATTCTTGGGAATGAGGTTATGATTTTAAAAGAGAAAAATTGAATCGTGATATCTTCACTAATAATTAGTTTATTTGTGCATAACAAAAAGAATCTGGTTTATGCTCTGTTTTCCTTGATTGGTATAATTAGTTTTTTATTTTATTATTATTTATTTATTTTTATCGTTGAATCTTTTGTAGCTCATATTTATATTTTGCAAAGTTGTGAGTGCAGCCAGCTAGTTGTTAACTTATTTATTCACTTCTGTTTAAAAATAATTCAATATTTTAGCTAGTTTTGCCTCAACCTCAATAAAAAAATTTTCTTTGTAACCTAATGGCTCCATTGATCTGGGGCACTAAAAGGCACCCCTGTAGTAGGAGGCTAACATCGCCGATTACATGGGGCGTTAAAATGCCAGTGGGCTGAACCGATTGACCAATTTCCTCACCGGTCCAAAACACGGGTCGTGAGACTTGTAGAAGGGGTGAGACTACCGCCTCTCTTACGTGTTTCTCTACATATCGAAAGCCTTTAACGACTATTTATTGGAGTAATCACACCCCATCCTCTTGTGTGCGAGTTTCCTTTCCTACTTCTTTCCTTTTTCTTCCTCCAATTGGAATCTATATATTGTTGTTGTTTTAGAGAGTTAGGGAAGACTTGGTTTTGCAGATTTTAGATTTCTGTGTGGAGTATTATCTTTACTCTAGGGTAGGTGTTGGTATTCCGGCTGTATCCTACTTCGAGGTGGTGTTGTATCTTTCCTTTTACCCTTACCTTACCCTTTTCCTCCCCTCTTCTCCAACTTCGGCCTCCTCATACTTCAACCTAACACCTAGCCGCCATTCCCTACCGCCTACCCTTGCTGTCCACTCACCCAAACTGCACCTTCCTTGCTGCCTACCTTCGCTACCTAATCGCCCGACCCTGACTCTAACCCTCTGCCGCCCTTCTTAGCAGCCACTCCTGTCAGCATACCAGGCCCCTAAACCCTTACCTGACCCATCTCACTGCCACTAACCCTTCCCCATAACCACAATATGCTGGCGACGCCACCCCACCCTCGAATCTCATCTTTTGGTCCCTAGCAGGAAATTGTTTTGTCGTTGTTTGTCCCTTTACATTGCGTCATGTTGTAACACTGTTTCTATATTAATAAAAGTTTTCTTTGTGTTTCACTAAATCTCGATTAGTTTCGGTATCAATTAGTATCAGTGTTAGCTCGACTTTAATCCCATCCTAAAGTTTCTAGCATCTGCCTCACCCAAGCCACATCCACCCAATTTTTTCCTTCCACTTCCCAAACCCAACCATGCTACCATGGAAAGATACATCAGGCTCTTTTCGGGAAGGGATCCAAAATGAGAAATCCTTCGTCTGCAATGGAGACTAGCTGAGTTGGATGATGGGAACTAGAAAGAGATTACTTTCAATCGTGATCGAAAGAGTCAAGGGAAAGATAGGGACAAGGATTTGAATCCATTTCACTGGGAATATCATAGTGATTAGGATTATCGACCACGTCATCTTGGTATCCAATACCAAAGAACTGATTTAGAAATTTCAACCTTTGCTGAGAAATGCAAGTTCACTCTCTTATTTAAAAAATTTCAGTGGGGGCACCCATCTATGGAAGTTATCAAAATGAGTTTTAAAGATCTCAATCTAGTAGGAAAGAGGAAAGTGAGACTTCTTGATGAGAGACATGCGTTAACATTGTTGGAACGTCAATGATCTTACTCAAGTGGCTTCCTGATTTTGACCCAAATCATGAACCTCCCACTGTACCAGTATGATTTAGTTTATCTGGTCTCAAGCTGCATCTATTTAATCATCAGGTTCTCTACTCTATTGGTGTCATACTTGAGGATCCTATGAAGCTAGATCTACCCACCTTTAATCTAACCAGACATTCTGTTGCCTGAATACTTGTGGAAAGTGATATTACTTTGCCTGATATCATAGAAGTCTGTCTGAACACAACATATAATGAATATTGACAACAAATTGTCATGAAACATAGACCCTTTTATTGTACCCATTGTAAGATGTTTGAGCATACCCTTGACAAATGTCATAGGCTCCACCCTAACATGAAATCTAAACCTCAAATGCATAAGGATGTGTCTAACCCCATTGCTCTGGACACATTTGCTCCACTTGTGGAGGAAATTACCACAAGACAGGAGTTGGTGTTTGATTTAATTGCTCCTGAGGATCTCCCTGACAATACTGTTTCTATTTCTGCGATTGATGTGTTATTAGATGACTCTGTTGGGCAACCTACAGCTTCAAACCTTCTTGAAAACAATACTGAAGGATCCTTACTTACAAAGGACATTGTTCGAACCGGTAATCAGGAGAGTCTTGCAGCTCCTCATATTCAGAAAATATCCGGTGCAAGAGGAAACAATTCATACTTCACATACACTAGAATCTATTGTTGTTACAATGGTTAACAATCTTTTTATTACGGTTCTACCACCTCACAGAATGAGCAAGTCGTTATTGTTAGTCATGCGCATGGGGCTCATCGGCTTATACATGCTCAACAATCTGTTGACTAACACTGATCAGATGAATCAGTCTTCAGATGAGGAATGACAGATTTACACATCCAGGAGGAAGAAGAAGAATAGAGGCCTAATTGAGCTCAGGAATTTAATGGATGATACATTGTTTACTACGGATAATGATACACAACTCACCAATTTGTTAGCTGGCTCCCTTCCTAGAACTAAAGGCAGAGACATGACTAAATTGGGTCGCCCCTAACTACTTGTTTCTGTGTTTTGGTGGTTTTGGTTTTTGACCTTACATGTATCTTTTCTTTTTTTTTGAGATTTTTGTGTGTTGTGCCGCGTTGGTAGGGTGACTTTTTTGGGCCCACTCATACAACTTATTTGTATCTTTTCTATTTTAATATATTAGCCCTTGAGCTTTGAAAAAAAAGGTGAGAATAGGCCACTTATGGGAGTCCGTGGCACTTCGACATCAAGACAGACCTTCCAGCATTTTTGGGAGGTGTGGACCCCGATGAGTTTATCAACTTGCTGCGATCAACTAAACGGAAGTATAAAGACATATCAGAGGATAAACAAATCAAACTAGATGCCATTAAATTAAAGAAGAATGTCTTCTTACGGTAGTAAAATCTACACAGGCAGAGGAGAAGATAATGCATTAATAAGATAACTAAGTGAGAGAAGATGAATAAGGTAATACCGAAAAAATACCTGCCATTGTAGTATCGCGAGGACATGTTTCTAAAAGTCAACTTATAGCATATCATGACCCGACCCGATGCTTGGAATTAACTAAGGCGGGTACTGCAGTTGACGGTATTGACATCTAAATAACTAACAAAATATTTTATTAACTTCCAATATATGAAAGGGCCACTACAACAACAACAAAAAGCCTTAATCCCACTACGTGGGGTCGGCTACATGAATCCTTTTTCTCAATTGCGTCCTATTTAGTGTCATATTTTCATTTAGTTATAGTAAATTAAGAACATTTTTTATACAATAAGCCCAAGTCTTCGTAAGTCTACCTCTGCCTTTCTTAACATAATTCGAATCTAAAACATCTACTCTCTTAATCGGATCATCAGATGGTCAACGTTTAATGTGACCAAACCATCTAAGACGACTTTCTCTAATCTTGTCTGCATAGGAGCTACACCAAACCTATCATGGATATATTCATTTCGTATCTTGTTTCTAAGTGTAAAGCCACATCCACCTAATCATTCTCATCTCGGCAACACTTAACTTATTATTATGCTTCTCTTTTAATGACCAACATTCAGTGCCATAGAGCATTGCAGGTCTCACCACTGTCTTATAAAATTTTCCTTTCAGTCTAAGGGGTACTTTTCTATCACACAAAAGGCCCGAAGTATTCCTTCACTTCAATCAACCAACTTGAATTCTACTATTAAGGCCCAAAGTCCACTTATGTCACTAGAGCTACTACTACTAAAATTACTTTCGATGTATTCAGTTTTAGTTCTTAAATGAAGGCCTTTAGAATCCAATGTAGACCATAATTTAAATTTTTCTTGGGCTTTTTCTATCGTCTTATCCATGAGAAGGATATCACCAACAAAAATCATACACCAAGGTACATCATCTTGTGGATGTCGAGTAAGCCCATCCATAACTAAAGCAAAAAGATATGAGCTTAAAGTCGATCCCTGATGTAATTCAATAGAAATAGGAAAATATTTGGTCAATCCTCCTTCAATTCGAACACAAGTAACAGCTCTAGTATACATATCTTTAATGACTTGAATATAAATCAGATCAACACCTTTCTTCTCAAGAACTCTCCAAAGGATATCTCTTGGAACCTTATCTTAAATTTTTTCTAAATAAAAAAAAAATCAAATGTAGATTCTTCTTATTATCTCTCAACTTATCCATCAAACCTCTCAATAAACGCATAGCTTCCATAGTAGACCTGCCCGACATAAATCCAAATTGATTATGAGAAATCTTTGTAATACGTCTTAACCTATTTTCAATTACCCTCTCCCATAACTTTAAAGTATGACACATAAACTTAATTCCTCTATAATTTGCACACTCTTATGCATCCCCTTTATTCTTAAAAATGGGGACCAAAGTTCAGACATCTTTTTAGTTGTTAAAATAATATTAAAAAGTTTAGTCAGCCTAGAAACTCTCAAATCTCATAAATATTTCCACACTTCACTGGGATATCATTAGGCCCTATACAGATTTTCCACCATTAGTTTTCTTTAAAGCCTCATCAACTTCTTTTTTTACTAATGCGACAGTAAAAAAGAAACTATCATTTTTAAAAATAAAAGGGTCACTAATCCACAAAAT